GGGGGGGGGGCAAGCAGGAGGTCAGGCCCCCACAGGCTGGACTCTCCTACACACAAGGCCCACGAGAGCAGCTGTCCGGCCTGCACGTCCAGGACCCCCACCCGCAGAGCCACATCTGCTTCTCCGAGTCCCCGGAAAATCATCCCTCCGAGAGGATGGAAGGAAGCAAGGTGCCAAAGAGCACGTGACAGCCACCCAGCATGTGCCCGGCCTCACTGGGTGGGGGTGGGAACTACCTGGGGAGACACAGCTCAGGTCTCTGGGCAGTGAGCTCGTGTTTAAACTGGAAACTGTGCAAATGCGTGACCCATCCAAAAAGAGAAATTGAAAACCGCAAAACCCAGCACGCTGAGAATCACACACAGGCCCACACAAGGCAGGTCTTCTAATGACCGCACAGTGGACAGAGCCCCGGCCACACTGCCCACCTGCTGCTTGAGGCCGGCCAAAGCTCGGGCTGTCTACACCCAGCTCTGGTATGACGCCTGTGCTCTGCCCGCCACTGAGCCTCTGGGTGGGAACCCAACGGCGAGGCTGTGGCACCTTCCAGCTTTAATCTTTAGGGTCAGGGCCCCGGTGGGCACTGGGACTTGCCAAGTCTGGTTCGTCTGGCCTCTGAGGAGGCTGAGGGAGGGGCATCCCTGGAGACATGGTGTCGAGAGAGAAATTAAAGGAGGGGCCGAGGAGACTCCACAAGGACAGGGTGGTCCCGGCTCATCCTCGCAGGACACCTGCCGCCCGTGGATGGGGCCCCTCTCACCTTGGCGTAGATCTCCCTGAGCAGGGGTGAGGTGTTGACCTGGGGCTCGGGCTGGGGCTGCAGAGGAGGGCTGAAGGTGGGCTGGGCCTTGTGCACTGCCTGCAGGAGCGCGGCCTGCTCCTCCTGGCACAGTGGCACGCTGGAGAAGAGGTCCTGCAGCCGCAGCCCATCCTGGGCCATCTGGTCCAGACACCTGTGGGGGCGCATGGTGCCTAAGGGATGGGCAGCCCCCAACACCCTGCAGGTCTCAGCGCCAGGTGGCCATGGGGGCCTTCTGGGCGGCCCGGGACCCAGCAAGGGCCCGATGCCCACCCACCTTTGGACGGTCCTGGCGTCCTGGTCCAGCCGTCCCATGCACTGGAGCGCAGCTGCGTAGGACAAGAGGTCTGGGGTGAGGCCGGCATCTTTCACCATGAAGAACACGTAAACCAGCTCTTTGAAGGAGCCCTGGGGAGACCAAGTTGGGGTGAGGGTCCTGGGGTGGCCAGCCCGTCCCTTGAGACCTTGCTCTCCAGCCAGCAAATTAGGAAAAGGCTTGCCGGCCAAGTGCAGCGCAGGCGCTCGGTGACACCACGGCGGGACCAGGTGGGGGCTGGGTTCCCGATGGGAGAGGTGCTGATACCGTGGACGTGAACGTGCACTATTCCAGCCGCTACAAGAGGCTCTTCAGTGTTCTGTGCGTCCGTGTGCTGTCTTCCACCCGCCTGCTCCGGGGTTAGCCCACCTCTTCCCCGTTTCCGCAAGTGCTAGTCCTGTCCCTGGTTTGAGTGCGGCCTCTCTCACACAGGCGCCGTGGCTGTCAACCTCCCTCCGACACCCCCCGGCTGGAGGCACGCCGCGTTCAGGCCTCCGTTCATTTCCAAGTACAGGAAACCTTGTTTGCGAGCATAAGTCGTTCCAGAAACATGTTTCTAATCCAAAGTACTTGTATGTCAAAGCGATTTCCCCATGAGAAATAATGGCAACGCACAATCCAAACATATTCATGCAAAAAATGATTACGGTACTGTAAGATAATAGAAAATAATATAATTCACGGTATAAAGAAATACACATTAACCTGCATTTACCTTTGAGCACCTCCGTGGCTGGAGCGAGGGAGACGATAGGAGGGTGACTGTGCAGGACAACTGTCACTATCACTAAGGGAATCGCTGCTATCTATCGGCTCAATGCAATCTTCTTCTTTTCCTGAGGCTTTAACAGGGAACCTCCCCGGTGACGCTTGCTTTGCCTCCTCTTGAGGGTTTCGCAAAAACGGGACATCGCGTTGTCGTTAAACAGACCCGTTGCTCACATTGCTACAGCCTTATTCGGGCGGTGCTTTGCTACACAATTTTGCAGGTTCCCACACTTCACACATCTCCCTAATCTCGTTTGAAGTGAGGGATTCCTCCGCCTTTTCCTCCTCCTCTGCAGGCAAGGTACAGACGTAGACTTCTTGTAAAATCTTGCAATTTCAGCCCCTCGCATACCTCGTTCATAGTCTCCAATGATTTCCTTCGACTTCCACCAGAATCATCTCCTTCTTACCGCCTTTCTCTTCAACCTTTTTCTGCGTGGGGGTCACTGTATACGCTGCCACTGATGCTGACTACAGCACATGATTAATAAACTTTTGTCACGTGCCATACTTAACGTAACTGGCAGTGAGGCAGCAGAGGACAAGGTCCCTATCTGCAGGCGGCCAGACCTAGAATGAAGCAAAGCGTTCCCGAGCTCGCTCTTGGATGGAAAAGCAAAGGGCTGTCCGCAGGTGCGTTGAGGGGACAAAAATACACGAGCGCCAACGTTCTGAAAACTCACTGAGTTCTGCCAACGAGACTGAGCATCCCAGCGTGGGCGATGATCACCCACCCCCGCAGAGAACCACTGGCTCAGCTGCGACCACATGACACTCGGCGTCACGTTCTAGGTGAACTGCAAGACCTCGCTCGCTCACCAAGTGAGAATGTATCAGGAACGTCTGCCTGTCTCGCGGAACAGCTTCCTCGCGGTCCAGGTTCTGCTGTACGTGCCACGTTCTCTTGCAGCTGCTTCCCGGACCACTGGAGGTCTGTGCCGCTGCAGACCCGCTGGAGAAAACAAGGCTCCTAGCACCCCCCAGCCCCGCCCCCAGCTCCTGCTGCCTTCATCCAAGGCGTGCCGCCACACCAGGGACCACGGTGCCGGCAACCGGGTTTTCAGGCGCTTGTCTCAAGGACCTCGCCCAGGCCGCCCTACTGGCCGTCAGCGGCCACACGTAGCCACCACGTTTAAACCTTCAGCTCTGCAAATGCTCGGGGGTCACACGCAGCCGGAGCAGGTGAACGCGCCAACGGGGAAGGGACCCCCGCCGGACAGCGCTGGTCTACAGGAAGCGTGTCTAAACCCCACGTGCCGTCTCACCTTTACGCTTTACAGAGACACACGCGCGCACGCGGACACGGTGGCCGAGGCTCTAAATCAGGCCCCTCTGCCTTACACGTGGGGACACCGAAGCTCAGAGAGAAGTGGGAGGTGTGGGCCACACGGTGAGCAAGCGGCAGCCACAGGACTCAGGCTGGGCTCTGGGTAACAGCCAAGCCCCATCCCGCATGCGCAGGCCGCCCAGAAACCATGACTTCCGGAGCCCAGGATGCCTGTGCAGTCCACGCACGATGCAGGACGCGCCTGGGACGGGGTTAGCAATGCCCCCAAACCCCCACCTACTCGGGACCTCATAACACGGGCCCCTGAGGGATCTTTGCTAACGGAATGAGTTCAGATGAAGCCTCGTGAGGAGTGTGAGGACAGGGCAGATGCGGGACACCTGGAGACGCCTGGGGACGCAGCCACAGGCCCAGGACCACAGGGGCTCCGGGAGCTGGAAGAGGCAGGAAGGCAGTGGCCCCTCCCGCTTTGACCTGGGACTGGAAAAAAATAACTGTCACTTTAAGCCACCCAGGTTTTGGTCATCGCCGCAAATGCAGGAAGCTGGCGCCCGTGCCAATGGCAGAAATGTCCCGCCGTAACAGGGCCCTGTGACCTTGGGGGGAAGAAAATGACCTTCTTGCCTTCACTAACTCCCTGAAGCTAGTGCGTCCCAGTGACGAAGACGAACGTGACTGCCGCCTGTGGGGACCGGGCATCTCCACGCCACGGGCCGACGCAGACGTAAAGCGATGGTGGCCCCTGGGCCTGCTGTCCTGTCCTCGAGTGAGGCCCGGCGGTCTCGGCCACAAGCCCACGCTCACAGCCGGCGCCTCGGTCCCCACGCGACGGTCTCTGCCTCGGGCCTGAGCACAGGGAGGGGGCTCGGAGCTGCGCCCCTGCGAGGCCACGTGAAGAACACTCTTGAACAAGCAGCCCGGGCCGCCGCCGCGGGGAAATTAATAACACTTGGAGAGACACGGGGCATGGCCAGAGCGGACCCCGCAGGGAACCCCACGGCCACGAACGAACGCCCGCATCGAGACGCGCTGAGCTAACCCCCCACCCGAGGAAGCCCCACCTAAAGCAGCGAAGTCGCTGTCCCGAGAAGGACCTGGAAACTCCCCCGGAGGCCAAAGCACCCCTCACACCAGTCAGGCACAGAGGCCCCGGTCGAGGCGTCCAGAAGGAAAGGGACTAAAACGTTCAGCAGGACTCCCTCCTTCTCTTTTGGCTGTTTTGGGAAATCTCCGTTGAGGGCCACGTGGGACTTATGGTTGACAAGCCACGAGAAATCATCAGGACGGTAACAAGCACAGGACTCGGCCTCTGGGGCTCAGAGCCCCGGGTTCGGACCAGGCGCTCCCGGGTGGGGCCCGGCGGACCCCGCAGACACCCCTCCCCCGGGGCCGCCGCTCACCTTGCGAGCCCAGCCGAGCATGACGGTGTTGTACGCGGCCAGCGTGAGCACCCGCCGCTGCCGCCACTTGCTGTGGCAGGTGACCAGCACGTGGTGGGCGAGGGGCAGGTGGCCCGAGAGCAGGCAGCACTCCAGGAAGGCCAGGAGCCTCTGCTGCTGGGCCTCCAGCCGCGCGGGGGCGCCCCCCGCCTCGTGGGCCCGCTCCGCCTCGCAGCTCAGCCTCCGCGGCGCCTCCCGCAGCAGCCGCGCCAGCTGCTCCTCCCAGGGGCTCCGGGGGGTCTCCTGCTCCCAGCGCAGCAGGCGCTCGGCCAGCGGGGCGCTCAGCAGCTGGGGCACCATCCGCAGCCTGTGCTCACAGGCCAGCTGCTGGGCCTGCACCTGCAGCTTCGCCTGCAGCCGCTGCTTGCGCCTCTGCATCGCCCACTTCTCCTGGTCCAGCTTCTGCGCCCAGTGGCCGCCGAGCCCCGGGGCGGTGCCCTCGCCTCCCTTCTGGGCCTTCCTGCGTGGCTGGAAGCCGCCCGCTTCTGGGAGTCGGGCCGGGCGGGGCCTCCTCACGGTCACCTCCGACACATGCGCGGCCTGCAGCTGCCGCACCCGGGCCTCGAGCACTGTGGGGG